TGCCAGAGCTCCTTATGCAGTAGTTATAGGGGTAAATAATTTATCTTCAATTCTGGGGTTCTCGCTATAAAATATTCTCTCTATAAAATAGTAGGCGTCCATACAACCATGCCTGGTCCTTTGTTATGTAAGGAAGTATAGTGAGTGAAAATCAGCCCATTGAGCTTTGATCTATTTTTCCCAAATTAGAAATAGAACTATTAAGATTTACCATCAAGTTTATAATATTTGATTTTTTTTCTCCATAAGTGCAACTACTTTTTATAAGTAAACATTGTGCTTATAATACTTTAAACAGCACTTTAGCCTCACATGCCCTCCAGGTAACAAGTGTGGGACTCCAATAGAGTCTGAGGTATGGGAGCATCAAGTAAAGCTTGCCTTCAGGCAGCCTGATTCAAACGTTGAAAAGCTGCCAAAGAAAGTATATTCCAGAAGCCACTTGATCACTAGCCCATTGCCTCCTCACCTTATGTGTCTCAGTTTTTTCATTTCTTTTAAGAAGGGTATAAAGTCTCATCACCTTTTTAGAGCATGACAGAATTGAATCTGTAAAGTATTTAGAAGCAGCTGGTGCATATTAGAAGCTGCTGTAATATCTATTATTTACTCCTCAAACCAAACAGTATGGATGAGTCAGTCTGCTCGCACATTTCATTTAACTTCTTTGTTTTGAATTTACAAATAAATTCAGTTGTTTTCATACAACAAATTTTTAAAAAGTATATCCAGAAGGCTGTCTGTTTTGTAATCCTTGATTTGAACATTGTAGGGGTCTGAAATGTATAGAAGAAGGAAGTGGTAAAATGCTAAATGCTTCTGTTTTATTTTGAAGGAATCTGCTACTTTACAATTGGAGTGTAAGCATGAAGAAGTAGTATAGTGATATTATAAAACTTAAGTACTATGAGCTGCATTTACATCTAAAGTATTCTAAAACAGCTTATTGGTTATTTTGTTGTTTTGTTTTTAATAGCTAACAGTAGTGATTTCTCCATTATAGATATTTTTTATCTTTATTATCACCAAAATGTTTTTAAATAGCCAAATATGGTTATAAACAAGATTTGTATGATTGGCTTCTAGGTTTGTTTTTTGATTTTTTTTCATAAAACTTCAGAATAAACATCATTTTAACTATACCCTAAACTTGAAGTCTTTAAAAATGGCACATGCTAATTTAAAAAAAAAGAAAAAATGTAGTTTACTGTATGATTAACAAGCAACAGTGATGAATGTGTAGTGGAAGTTTCATGAGCTTTGTTTTGTCCTAACTCACAGAAGTATTCATCAGAGTTCTGCAATATGTCTTTCGCCAAGCATTGTATCCACTTTAATATGTTTACAGCTTGTATAAAACAAAAAAATATATAAATGTGTATAATTATAGTGAGTAACATTGATTTGCTCTTATCTGATTTTGTCAGAAAAGAATAAAAGATGGATGAATTAATTTTTTTTATTTTTATTTTTTTAAAGTTCAAGGTATTGTTAAGTGCCTTTGAGTCCGTTCCAATCCAAAGCAACCCTGTATAAGGTTTCCTAGAAAGGGCTGGTGACCTTGAACTGCGAACCTTGCTGTTCAAACCAGCTTTGCAGTCCAGCGCATTAACTCACAGCACCACACCTGGACTCCAGAGTTCAAGGTGTTGTTATTGTTAAATGCCGAGGAGTTCTTTCCTATCCATAGTGACCCTATGTAGGGTTTCGAAGGAGCAGCTGATAAGTTTGAACAGCATATTGAATCGACTCTATTTATGAAGTTACATTATTTTCCTGGTTAGGCTAAAGTTTCATTCTTTTATGCTAAAGTTTTTATCCCTCAAAATGTGTGGATTTTTCTCTGGTTAATTATTTTCCTATCTTTTACATATTTATTTTGTTTCTTTCAATATTACTTCAGTCTTTGTTCAGTAAAGATAGTGATCCCTATTTTTTATATTTTGCTTTATACTTTTGTACATTGGAATTAGTATTTGAAAATGCTCATTTAAGTGGTACCACTTAGAGCAGTTCTCTATGACAAACTAGAGCTATACCGCAGTGTTTTCTAGCTTTCCAAAGCTTTTACAGGGGCAGAGTGGCAGGTCATTTCTCCTACTGTGGAGCAAGAGAGAGTGTTAACAGCAAGGCACCCACTCAGTTAGCAGCCAAGAACTTAAGCATTTTGCCCACAGGTCTCAACTGAATGCACATCACCACCAATAGGTATTGCAAATGACTTGCACCAGACTGCTAACCAAGAGACTGGCAGTTCAAAAACACTCAGAGGTACGACAGAAGGCCTAGTGATTTGCTTCCATTAAAACTAAAACCAACAGAAAAGCAAACCTATTGCCATTGAATCAGTTCCAAGCCATGGAGACTTCCATGTGTGAGAAACCCTGTGGAATAGGTCCACTCCAAAACATGCGGCGTCTCCATGAGTCAGAACCTATTCAACAAACACTAATTTTAAAATTATAGTCCCTGGCATTACATAGGTTTTGCATTCCATAGTTGGTAGGTCTTGTTATTTCAGTCTTATAATTAATGTATTAACTTTGTGATGTTTATCAATTAATGTGTTGCAGACTTTATTCCCGTCAAATCTTTGACTATTTGCATTCCCCAGATAAAATTCTAAGTAGGACTTTGAACTGGTTCTTTCTGGTTAGACTCCCTAATGAGAATTTAAATTTCCGCTCCAAATGTACTGATTTAGAATCTACATTTTAATAAGACCTTGGATGATTCTCTTTTATAAAAACACTTTTTAGTATGAATTGAGTGAAGGTTTATGGACCCACTCATCCATTTTACATTTAGCTAATCCTACACTTTGTTTCATTACAATAATTGCAACCCAATCCATGTATCGTCAGTTAACAGTATTTACCTCTATTCACTTTAACTAGTGCCGTCCTCCCTGTGCCTCCCACTACCTTCTTCTTTCCTCTGATAACCTGCCTCTTGTTTTATATTACCTGCCCTGTTACCCACGTTAACATGTGTCTACCCTCTAGCCCATGACTAATTTCCCCTCCCTCCTCCCACCCATAACCATGATAGATTGTTTCTTTTGTCAAGAGACCCAGTATGATTCTTACAGAGGTTTCCAGGTGATTCTTATGTATGTATAAGCCCTACTTCTAGGTACTGGGAGCCATTGAAGTAAGACAGAATCAAGAGAGATATTCTAGCATGATTCATAATAATTTATCTAGAGTTAAGTGTTTGAATACCTTTTTTATTTGTTGTTGCTGTTGTTAACTTCTGTCGAGTCGATTCCGACCCATCGTGACCTAGTATAGGGTTTCCAAGGAGCAGCTGGTGAGCTTGAGCCACTAACCTTGCAGTTCAAACGACTTTGCGGTCTGACGCATTAACCCACAGTACCACACCAGGACTCCACCTTTTTATTTAGATCTGTTTAAATTGTTACGATATATCACTGGCTAGATTTTCATTGTTACTCCTTTGTATAGAGTTTTTCCTAATCTTTATATTTTTTGCCTCTTACAGCTCTTTCAAGCACTTGATTGGAGGGTTGGATGATGTTTCTAATAAAGCATATGAAGATGCAGAAGCTAAAGCAAAGTAGGTGGCAATTTTTTTCTCTCTGTAGCTGTAATCTTAATTGTTTTTGAAACGTTTTGGGGTTTTTGTTTTTTTTTTGCATCGAACTAAGATCAAATATCTTGTTGGGCTTGACAAAATCAAGCAAAGACAAGAGGAAAGAAATTACTTGAGAGGAAAAAGAATCAAGCTATTGAAGGTGTATTTACTTAGTAAGTGTGTCTCCCTTTAAACATGAATTTTTATTTCACGTGAACATCGTCTCACCAAAGTGAAATGACTATTTTTAAATCTAATATAAAAAATTAAAGTACATTATTTCTCCCACTGAAGATACTTTCTGAATAAATTATCATTGTATTCAATAGTTGTTTGGGAAATTATATGAAAAATAATAACACTAGATTATTTCCCCATGTGAATCCATCATTTCTTCACGTTGCTTCACTTTGAGCATGGGTGTTTTAACTAAAATATTAGCAGAATGATATAATGCATTATTTGATATTACACAGAACAACTGAAGGATTAAATTGACAAATATAGTTGAGGGTCAGAATTTTGTTGGTTTGTTTTGTAGCAAAATAAATAAGATAATTTATTTTGCCTTGAAAAGTCATAAATATGGAAATTTTGTTCTAGAACTAAAGTGTAAGGTGTATGGCCTGATAAAATTTTAATCCATTTCAAAGATGTATAAATTCAATTACAGTTTCATCTCTACATAGTTTACTTTTGTTTCTCCTGATCTTTGGCGGGACATAGACAAAAACCCAAGGTGAAATGACAAGTGTCTCTGTCAAGATCTGTTCAGGAAATTGTCCTTGGCAAGTTTTACTTTGCATAGGTTCTTAGTATTGCTCCTACTGGATTCATTAGTTCTAATGTTTCTGGTTTTCTAAAATAGATTGAAATGCACATTACTGCTAAATGTAGACTTTGGCTTTTGATATTAGCTAGTACTAACACTACCATTGAGTTGTGGTGTAGGGCTGTAGTATAAGCATTGGACTGTTAAACACAAGGGCCATGGTGCAAACCCCCAGCCACTTGTTGGAAACTTTTTACAGGGCCATATTACTCAGAACAGACTCCGTGGTAGTTAACAACAACAGCATCACTTTATAAGTTGTAAAATCTCCCTTAGATAATAGTAGGCTTTCTCCTTGGAAAAACATTTTTTTGTTTGTTTTCTGTTATGTAAAAACTCAGATTTCTAATTTATGTAAGCATAATTTCCCATATATACATACATGTATATATGTTGTTGTTGTTGTTACTGCTGAGAAGCCAATTCCATCCATAGTGACCCTGTATAGGGTTCCTGAGGAGTGGCTGTTGAGCTTGAACCACCAACTTTGCAGTTCCAAAGACTTTGCAGTCCAGGGCATTAACCCACAGGGCCACACCAGGACTCCTTGTATATATATATATATATATATATATATATATATATATATATATATATATATACACACACACACACACACATATATACATACATAATTTTCACATATATAATTAAGCTTCTCACTAGTTTATATGTATGTTTATCTATACCACACACATAAAAGTGATCTGTATGTATATATAAAATTAAAACCTGCTGCCGCTGTTGTTGATAAGTGCTGTTGAGTTGGTTCTGCCTTTTAGCGACCCTGTATAGGGTTTCTGAGAAGAACTGATGAGTTTGAACAGCTGACCCTGCAGTTCAAGCCAACATTGTGGTTAGTACTTATCCTCCAGTGCCACACTACTAGCTGGTAAAGATGTTAGTAATCAATCTGAAATCTTCTAATTAGGGTTAATAGAAAAAGCCAGAAATCTTTTAAATTGTTGTTGTTGTTAGGTACCATTGAGTCGGTGTTGACTCATAGTGAGCCTGTGCTCAACAGACTGAAACACTGACTGGTCCCATACCAACCTCACAATCATTATTACTCCTGAACCCATTACTGCTGCTGAAGTGCCAGTCCATCTCATTGGGGGACTTCCTCTTTTTCTCCAACCCTCCACTTTATAAAACATGATATCCTTCTCCAGGGACTGGTCCTTCTTGATAATATGTCTGATTATGAGAAATGAAGTCTGGCCATCCTGGCTCCCAAGGAGCATCCTGGCTTCTTCCTACTTAACTCTATTTGTGGCAGTCCATGGTACTTTAAATATTATCCTCCAGCACCATAATTAATTTACTCTTTTTTTTTTTTAATTGTAGCAATATATATACAACAAAATATTTGCTGTTTCAACCATTGTTACATACACAATCCAGCCACACCAACCACACTCTCTATATGTTACACAATCATCACCACAATCCATTTCCAAATCGTTTTTTCTCTCTCTCTCCTCATTATTTTTTCCCTTCCTTTCTTTCTTTGGAGGGAAAGATCCCAATGAGTTCTCTTAACAAGAAAATATATCTTGTTTCCCTTCAAGTACATGAAAACAAGCAAACATATTAGTCTATGTATTTTTGTTTTCCTGTTAATCATGAGACAGGTTCTTCTAAGGTAGTTTTTGTATGATTCTTCTCCTATTTATGTACCCAAAATCAGGACTGGACATAGACTTAAAGTTGATCAGTGATTGGAAAGTAATTGTGAATTAGCAATGTCCTTCTTGATGTATTAACTTTATAAAAGTAACTTACTGCATGTCATGAATTCTGGTCAGTCATTATTCACTTGCACATGCATCAACTAAAGGTAGTAAGGAAAACAAATGTACTGAAATTCAGATTTAGAACATTAGAATGTGGGTGTGGTGACAGTGTTGAAAGAAAGAGAATTCATTAGTATGTCAAACATGACCCTGAACAAAGGCCAGAATCCTCGTGTTCTGCCCATGTCTGTCCTGGCATGGCATAATCATGACACTTAACCACTTTCTCTCATTCTCAGTCAACTCATCTGTAAAATGGTCTACTTTAATTAATTGAGGACAATATGTAAAACTATTTTGCAAATTATAAAGGGTTATAAGAGTGGGTTCTTTTATTGATATAACTAATCATTAGAAATATACTTGCACTTAACAACAACATACTTGGTATCTGGTTGGATTTTAGACAATTATTGCATATCAGCTATGTGAAACTAATTTCACATAAGCATGAAGTCTTTATTCGTAAAAAAATACATTTACTTGTGGAACAAAACTCAAAATTATTTAACAACAACAACAGAAAAAGACTGGTTTACTGGTCAGAAAGAGATTGGAGGGACCTGAGACTATGGCCCTCGACTCCCCTTCTGGTGTGGAAAGGAATTCACCCTGTGGTTCAATTTTAAGCTAAGCAAGCCGTAGATAGGTTAATAGCAGGGGAAAACGACACTAGTAAGATATGATTCCCATTGTATGGTCAGTCATTCAAACCCAAAAGGGCAGCATTTTCCTAAGAACAAAGTTAAGAAAGGATAGGAAGGTGAATGGAAATGAAATAAGAACCACATGAAGGCATCAGGATAACTGATGTAGCATGGAAGGGCTTACAGTCATTGAGATGATTTGTTGAATATAAAGCTCATGATCTTGTCTGTAAACTGTCACTTAATTCACAATAAA